CGAGGCGTGCGTGCCCCCTCTAGGCAGTAATGTGACCCTGCAGGTGTTCGTGCTGGACGAGAACGACAACGCGCCCGCGTTGCTGCCACCTGGGTCTGACAGCGGGGGCGGCGTGGTGAGCCAGCCTTTGGCGCGTTCTGTGGGCGCGGGCCACGTGGTGGCGAAGGTGCGCGCGGTGGATGCGGACTCGGGCTACAACGCGTGGCTGTCTTACGAGCTGCGGCGGGAGGCGGGGGGCGCGCGCAGCCCGTTCCGCGAGGGGCTGTACACGGGCGAGATCAGCACGACGCGAGCCCTGGACGAGGCGGACGCTCCGCGCCAGCGTCTTCTGGTGCTGGTGAAGGACCACGGCGAGCCGGCGCTGGCGTCCACCGCCACTGTGCTGCTGTCGCTGGTGGACAGCGGCCAGGCGCCGAAGACACCGTTGCGGATGTCGATCGGGTCCACGGGCCCAGAAGCGGCGTTGGTGGATGTGAACGTGTATCTGATCATCGCCATCTGCGCGGTATCCAGCCTGTTGGTGCTCACGCTGCTGCTGTACACGGCGCTGCGGTGCTCGGCTCCGCCCATCGAGCGCGCATGCGGGCCGCTGAAGCCCACGCTGGTGTGCTCCAGCGCGGTAGGGAGCTGGTCGTGCTCGCAGCAGAGGCGGCAGAGGGTGTGCTCTGGGGAGGGCCCGCCCAAGACCGACCTTATGGCCTTCAGCCCCAGCCTTCCACCATGTCCTGTACCAGAGGTGGAAGTGGAAGAACAATCTATTGGAGGGGACCACTCTAGGAAGGTGGGTTATTATTTTTCATATTTTCATATTTTGTTTTGTAAATATTTTATTTCACTACTTTTTTCTCTAAATACATGACTCGCAATATCTTCATCCTTAATCCATATAGCATATTTCTATAATACCTCAAATATATCTAGTAATACCTATTGTATAATTTATTCTAAAAGTTTATTTCATATTTTGTCTATTGTACCTTGTGCATCAACTTTTGTTTGATACTTCAATTTTACAATTAAGCCATTGATTCTGAATTTATATTTTTAATACAAATATTTAATATAGGCTGTAGTTTTTTTCATAAACCACAATCTTTTTATGTTATAAATATTGTAAGATTAGTACTTTAACTCATAAGCGTATTTACTTTTCAAATCTAAATTTTGAAATGACCCTGTTATATAAACAAAAAGACTGCTCTGATCCATTTTTTCAAGGTAGAAATGTGCTTTTTGCTTTCTAAGATTTGCGTAGTGTAACATAATTTATAATGCATAATAGACCTTCACTATTCAATGTTTATACTTTATTCTTAATAATACAGTATGAAGTACAGTATGTAGACTGAAAGTTCATTCATAAAAATGTTCTGGTCTATGGAATTAAGCGTTTTGAGCTTTAAAATGTTTTTCACTTTATTTTGGTTTCATGGTACCTATGTCAGTGTGTAATACTTATTTCGTCAGAAGAAAATTTTCATAGTTATTTACATAATTTTATACAGTAGCTCTTCATCATCTATTCTTTTATCAACATGAGGTATTGGTTATAATATTCAAATATTAGCTTTTTTACTTTGAGGAAGTAGTCATAATTTTATTTTACTAATGGAGAGCATTTGAAAACCACTTTTAATTTTAGATTGAAAGTGATTACTGTCATCCAAATCAATATTGGAAGTTTGAAGAGAAAATGGAATTGTCCTCTTAGAATGTTTTCTACTGATCTGAAACAGTGCAATTTAGTTTAATAGGTTCTCTAGTCATTTTAATCAGGATTGTGTTGGATGATGTAGATGCAGAAATGAAAGACAATTAAATTGCATGGTGGCCAGCACTACCCTATTAATTATGCCTTTCTCAAATCGGTTGTTACCTGATATCTATGATTTCATTTTTAAATTTTATTTATTTTGGTGTTAACAAAGGGCAGTGCAATTACCATCTTGACTCTGGTTCTTAGCAATCACTTTATCCTTTGTGCATACAGACTTAGCTTTTATTCAATGTGCTTCATAAAGAGCTTCCAATAAAACTTGGCATCTCTACTCAAGTTTAGGAACATTAAAAAATACAATGGTTTCAGGAATGTAAGCGTGGCATTGCCTTCAGTGTTAATACTTTCCATGGCCAGTCTCCAGTTCTTATAGATGGTAAGTTAATGCAGAGTATTTCAGAGTATATAGCATTCCTTCCTCTTGTATATGCCCTCTCTTTCAGATCTTTATGTCAGTGTACCCCTCTGCAGAAAAGTCTTGTCAGAAGGTAACTCTTCATGTGAGTTATTAATGAAACTTAGAATTATGTGTTTACCACTTTAGTCCTACTTATTTTACTTTGCCTTTTGGATATGTTTCCTTTAAAAATACAAACATTTACAAAAATATTAATATAACAAGTTAGAATTTTATCTAGCAGCATAATAATCCTAAAGTCCATAGAGGAGGAAGTGAAAGGAGAGGAAAAGAGAGAATTCAGAATGAGTTGAGAGATAGCAAAGACAAATTTTACTGATTGTAGTCTGACAGTGTCTTCCTCTGGCTCTGTTATTAAGATAAACATTCTTTAAACTTTGTGGACGGTTTGTTCCATTTAATGCAGAATGATTGAAATTTCAGAATGAAACCAGAAATGTTCTCAAATCAAGAATGACTAACATTCTTGCCAAAAAACAAATTAGTTTATTTCAAAAAAAAAAAAATTATAGCATCTTAGTTTTATAATCATGTTTAACATACTCTTTAGTAGATGACATTAAAAAGACTAATCATGAGTACTCTTTAGCTTTGATGGGATAGTATTTGTGATAGTCTATTTCAAGAAGAGTAACCAACCCATAGCTTTATTAATATCTTATAGATATTTAGCAATTTAATAGCCTTGGAATTTGGGGGCTTTAAAAACTATTTTTAATATGTACTTAATTAGTGAAGCAATCCTATAAATTAAAAATGGAATGGCCCTTCAGCATGGAGTCATTCCCAAAGAGACTGAATTGTTCAATCGGCAAACAAGAGGAGGTTTATATCTTAGTCATATCTTTTTCTGAATTTAGTCACCTTCATGTGCTAAAATTTTTCTTGCTCATCTTTAGGCAAATATGTCAGTCTTGAACTTATGGCTTTCACAATTAAAAAAAGGATTAGAAGTAGTTTGAGCTATAAATGTTTGGCATAGATTCTATGACTCAGTATTTTAAAAAGTGTTCAAAATAAGACATTACTTTTACATAAAACCTAGGATTCCCTTGGATAACCATTTACATTTTCTTTTTGGTAGAAACGTTTGGGATTCTCCCAGTAGCTGCCATCTTATTGGAAGGATTTCAGATATTGAATAGTTGGTTCCTTAACAGCCTTGAGACTGATTAAAACATTTTTTTTCTATTTGAAAGACAACACTAATAAACCTTATTGCAACTGATAATAATTATTATGAAAAGCTCAATGTATTTTTTTTATATTTGAGATAAACAGGAAAATAAAATTGAGTGAATGAATGATATTTAGATTACTCTTTATACTATAGTCTCCTTAAACCAGTTCTGGAATATAATGGATATGAGCAAACAGACAAATACAACTTGAATTCCTGATTCAGTGTCTTTTTTTTTTTTTTTTGGATTAGAAAGAGATTATCATTACAAATAGCAATGGGTATAATGCAAATTTAAGCTGTCCTTCAGGATGGAAACTACAACATTCACCCAGAGCAGATATAGTAATTGGAAGAAAAGCTTTAATATGAGACAAAGATAACTGTATTTTATGTTTCCAGGAGTAAGTACTTGGTAAATTCATTAATATCAAAGCAAACAAATCTTTAAAGATAAACTTATAAGTAGCTTGCATATCAGCACTGATTTGAAATACCATTGTGTTAAAGAAGTAACTTAGAGAACTTGCATCTTCAGTTATCTTCTACATAACTAGGCTAAACTTTTAGAATAATTTAACATAGTATATGATTAAGCAATAGAAAATTATAGGGTGTTAGCAATAAAGTAAACTTAATAAGACATAATTTCAAAATAATCAATTTCTAAAAGTCTAAAAAACAGTATCATAGTAACCTACAAATACGGACTTTTCATCTTCAGAAACATGATAATATAGTAGTGCGTTAGTACATTCTCTTAGACGTCTATATGCAAGAAAAAACTTCTTGGAATTCTAATTTGTAAAACAAAACCACCTTTAAAGAGCTAGTGACCACACACAAGGAGTATATAATTAAAGAATTAAAAGCTCACAAAGAAAAACATGGACCAATTCAAAGAAATCACTAAAGAAGCAATATTAATGAAAGAAATACTAGTATAAACGCAAAGCCACTTCCATTTGGAGCCACAGGATGTCGTTGTTCTCCAAGGAGAAGATTATTTTAACAAAGAAAATTACGATTATTTCCAGGACCAGAGAGACTCTCCACTGTTCCGATGCTTTAAAGACTATAAACGCACCCATATTGTTATGATCACTTGGGATCTCCGGAATAAAGGCTCAAAAGGAAGATCTCAAAAGGACAACTTTGTACTCATGAAATGTTGATTTACTAACCAGCATCAAGGCATGATGTTAGCTTCAGGATCGCGTGCCCAGGAACCCCGGTTTCTGCTGCTTTCGCTTCTGCTTCTCGCAGCCTGGAAGGCCGGGAGAGGCCAGGTCCACTACTCGGTCCCCGAGGAGGCCAAACACGGCACCTTCGTGGGCCGCATCGCCCAGGACCTGGGGCTGGAGCTGGAGGAGCTGGTGCCGCGCCTGTTCCGGATGGCGTCCAAAGGCAGTGGGGACCTTCTGGAGGTAAATCTGCAGAATGGCATTTTGTTTGTGAATTCTCGGATCGATCGCGAGGAGCTGTGCGGGCGGAGTCTGGAGTGCAGCATCCACTTGGAGGTGATCGTGGAGAGGCCGCTAGAGGTTTTCCATGTGGAGGTGGAGGTGAAGGACATTAACGACAACCCGCCTGTGTTCCCGGCGACGCGGAAGAATCTGTTTATTTCCGAAACTCGGGCTCTTGACTCTCATTTTTCACTAGAGGGCGCCTCCGACGCAGATATCGGGGTCAACGCTCTGCTGTCTTACGGACTGAGCCCCAATGAGTATTTCTCTCTTGGAATACCGACCAACGACGAGCAGGTAAAACCACTTCAGTTGGTACTAAAAAAACCTTTAGACAGGGAAATCGCTTCGGAGCTTCTCTTGGTGCTGAAAGCAACAGATGGGGGCAAACCTGAGCTGTCAGGTACCGTAGAGTTACACATCACAGTGCTGGATGTAAATGACAATGCCCCAGTGTTTGACAAAGCAATCCATCGTGTGAAATTACTGGAAAATGCAAGAAACGGTACACTGGTTATTAGACTTAACGCCTCCGATTTGGACGAGGGTTCAAACAGCCACATTCTTTATTCCTTTACAACTGATGTCTCCCCCGACCCAGAAGCATCTTTTCGCATAGATTCAGCCAGTGGAGAAATAAAAGTAAATGGAAAGATAGATTTTGAAGAAACTAAGTTATGGAAGCTTCAAATAGAAGCAGTTGACAAAGGAAATCCCCCAATGTTTGGTCACTGCACAATCTTGATAGAGGTTTTAGACATCAATGATAATGCTCCAGAGCTGCTAGTGACTTCATTAACGCCTTCTGTTCCTGAGGATGCTCCACTGGGGACCGTCATCGCCCTTATCAGTGTAACTGACCGTGACGCCGATAGCAACGGGCAAGTGACCTGCTCACTAACACCCCGTGTCCCCTTCAAGCTGGTGTCCACTTTCAAGAATTACTATTCGCTGGTGCTGGACAGCGCTCTGGATCGCGAGAGTGTGGCGAATTATGAGCTGGTGGTGACAGCGCGGGATGGGGGCTCGCCTTCGCTGTCGGCCACCGCCAGCGTGTCCGTGGAGGTGGCCGACATGAACGACAACGCGCCGGTATTCACGCAGCCCGAATACACGGTGTTCGTGAAGGAGAACAACCCGCCCGGCTGCCACATCTTCACGGTGTCTGCGCGGGACGCGGACGCGCAGGAGAACGCGCTGGTGTCCTACTCGCTGGTGGAGCGGCGCGTGGGCGAGCGTGCGCTGTCGAGCTACGTGTCGGTGCACGCGGAGAGCGGCAAGGTGTACGCGCTGCAGCCGCTGGACCACGAGGAGCTGGAGCTGTTGCAGTTCCAGGTGAGCGCGCGCGACGCGGGCGTGCCACCTCTGAGCAGCAACATGACGCTGCAGGTGTTCGTGCTGGACGAGAACGACAACGCGCCCGCGTTGCTGCCGCCTGGGGCTGGCGGCGGGGGCGACGCGGTGAGCCAGCCGGTGGCGCGTTCTGTGGGCGCCGGCCACGTAGTGGCGAAGGTGCGCGCTGTGGACGCGGACTCGGGCTACAACGCGTGGCTGTCTTACGAGCTGCAGCCGGAGTCCGGGGGCTTGCGCAGCCCGTTCCGCGTGGGGCTGTACACGGGAGAGATCAGCACGACGCGCGCCCTGGACGAGGCGGACGCGCAGCGCCAGTGCCTGCTGGTGTTGGTGAAGGACCACGGCGAGCCGGCGCTGGCGTCCACGGCCACCGTGCTGCTGTCACTGGTGGACAGTGGCCAGGCTCCAAAGGCCTCATTGTGGGAGGCAGCGAGAGCCACGGGCCCAGAGTTGGCCTTGGTGGATGTGAACGTGTATCTGATCATCGCCATCTGTGCGGTGTCCAGCCTGTTGGTGCTCACGCTGCTGCTGTACACGGCGCTGCGGTGCTCGGCTCCGCCCACCGAGGGCGCGTGCGGGCCAGGGAAGCCCACTCTGGTGTGCCCCAGCTCAGTGGGGAGCTGGTTGTGCTCGCAGCAGAGGCGGCAGAAGGAGTGCTCTGGGGAGGGCCCGCCCAAGACGGATCTAATGGCTTTCAGTCCTAGTGTTCCTCCTGTTTCGAGTTCTGGAGATAGTGGAGAAAAACAGATTTGCGGGAATGTAAGTACAGGAATTTTGGGGTGTATTTAATGCCTATTAATGTCATTCACATAGTCGTTTACCAACATATTACTGTAAGTTCGTTGCTTCATTTGGTTTTGGCTTTCTCTTGGGATGGAAAAAATTTTTAATTATTTTTCACCAGTCTTCATAAACACCAAGAATATTATCTAGTTGGTAGAAATCATAATAGTAAAAGTAATAGCTGTAATGAAATAGATGACTAAAGCTTTCTGTTAATGTGGAAGTTAGTCAGAGAGGAAGGAAGTGAGGATCACTCATGAGAAATGGAGAGTGTGGACAGGCTGAAATATTTTACTTGTCATTTTGCAGCAAGTTCATTCTTCCTTTCTTCTTATTCTAAGTGGTGCCTTTCACTCATTATGTTTATGTATTCAAATTACCGTAATAATGCAGAACTTCATAATTTAGTTTTTTTATTTTAAACATGGTTAAATTGTTACCTTCCTATAATCTGTAAGTTTACCTATTACGGGCATAGGTAGTTGAGGTGGTCTCATTTTATAAACCATTTTGTTTCTAATCAATGACATGGTCTTTGAGATAGTGGGTGATGTTTCACCTTGTCTTTGGGGATGATTTTACTTATTTTTGTTTTTAATCCCTCATAATTTCAAGCTTATTTTCTTTATAGTCTTCAGCTGCTTCAGATAGACTTTCCCCCCTTTATTTTCTAATATAACATCAGTTTTGCTAATTGCCTGTTGAATTCATTGCGGCTTTCCTCCAGATTAATTTATTGAACTCTATTTTATCTGGAAGATTTATTTGAGCATTGAATATACTGATATTTCTTCCATTCATGGTACTTGTCATGAGGCTGTATGGAAATATTTTAGGGCAGGAAAATTCATACTTTTTTTGTATGTGTGCTTTAAGAAAGTCTTCCCATGTATAAGGAAGTATGATGCTGCTGCCTATGTTCACCAAGCCACTTGGTCTTCAAAATGACTTGCTTTAAATAACTTGAATGTAAGAACCATGAAACTTTCACTTGACACTTCCACTTGGCACTAGCACTCGACAATAATGTTGTTGATCGAATTTCAGAATTTAACATTGTATACTTTAGATGCGTACTATGCAAACACTTTATTGTCACAAAGCTATATTCACAGAGAACTTGTATTTAGGGTTGTAAGGGTGTGAATCAAATAATGTGGAGGTTAATTTTGTTCTTTGGGTTCCAGTATACAAATTAGAGACCGTTTAATTGGAGTGTGTGGAAAAATAAATTATATATGATAATTTACATTTGGGAGGAGAACCATGTTATGGTAGATAGGGTAAGGTTAATAGAAATGCTGAGAAGGCATTAGTGGTTGTTTTCTACCTAAAAAGTAGGATGATTTCCATGAAGATGAATGTTAGGAAATCTTCAGAAAAGGAAAAGCCAAGCCTTAGTTATTGTACTGGAATACCATTCATCCATCACTAACTATAATATACTACCATGATTGAGCTATTTCTATTTGTTAGACATGGTGAGAAGGGCTTAAAATACATAATTTAAAAAATCCTTTTAACAACTTGTAAATTACATGAGACTACCCAAAATTTTAAAATGCCATAAGAGATATTTGTCTTTTCTATTGCCATTCAGCTAGCACATGATAGAGATGATATTCAAATGCATATCTTTTAGATTCCAGACCCATTGTTTTTATCACTGTAGAGTTTTCTGTAGTAAATCTTTTCTCTGATCAGGAATAGTTCTGGCTAGGAATGTCAAGCACAAGCTATATACAGGTGAAACTTCCTTTCTGTTTTGCTAAGGAAAAAAAACCTCTTCATGATTATCTTCATGATTAATTTTGTACAATGCCATAATTGAGATGGGAATTAGGATTTTTGTTAAGTGATTTTTTTCTCAAAAGAGTTCATGATCGTCATCATTTGTGTTAATGTCACATTGATAGGTATTAATATTATTCAATCAATAAATAATTTAGAATTGCCCTATAAGGACTATGAATCAGTTTGGAAGTGATAAAAATAAGAAAAATAATCATTTAATATTTGAGAAAAGTCAGAAGACTGTGGTCTGCAATGTTCTTGCAGAACACCAAAGCCAAATGACACATATGAAAATGACCTTGTCTTTTTAACACTGTGAATAAGGATATGTTTTGGGCAAATATAAGTAGTAATATGATTATTTCTGGGATCCTGAACAGCAGCAAAGGATTCAATAAGTATTTCCAATATTGGATACTTTAATACAGCTTTAATGGTATATTTTCGCATGAAAATCTTTGTGTTTATATCTTTAAAGATTCAGTCTTCTTTAGTTTTATAATTGTCTGAGAGATTTGTGCCAACTGAACAAATGATCTGTGATCAAATAACTGTGTATACTTGAATAAGCCATGATAGCACAGTGTGAACATTGCTGAGTATATCCTACAATTTCGTTAATCCGATGTTGAATAGTACTTCTAATCTACCGATTTTGAAGAACCTTCTGTGTTTCCAAAAATGAATTCAAGATTTATTTCTCTTTTTATGTTTTCAATAGTAATAGTACTAGAACTATTATGGAATATTAGCGGATGATGAGGACTCATAGGACATTAAACAATGCACTCTAACACGTGACTAGCAGGACATACAGTTGGAACTTAAGACTAACCAAATTGGTTTAGTAAAGGTCAGGCACAAAGTTCCTCATTCTTTTCAATTGATTTTACAAAATTATGGTTAACAATGATATTGATATGACTTCTTGGCATTAGCCTATTGCCAAATCTCAGATCTATCCTCAAAGATGAGTTCGACGATAGCATAATCTCTTCTAAAGGGGCTAGTTGAGATGGCAACTATATCTGAAATATAACAGCCAAAATGCAGAAGATGGGTTCTTAGTTCATACAATATGTAAAACTCTTTTATGACTTGCAGTTTGTCCAGTGCCACTCCATATACTCACAAAACACCACATTACTGGAAAGTAATTTTTAAATTAGCATTTGATTTTAATTCAGACATGTAAGTTCTTCATCTCCCTTGGATAAACTTTCTCATGTACTTCTCTCTATCTACCTTTGAAGACTCCACTTCGCATGTCATACCTCAATCCTCAATTTCCATAATGAAGTGGTTGCTTGCCTTTTCTCCAAAATAAATCTGACAGTCTTCAAATATATTAAATCTATTGTTATCTAGTGTAATATATTTTGATTAGAGACCCATATGACTGCTTGTGTTACAGATGCATAACAGATTGTGTTACAGATGCATTACAGTGTCATAAAAGGTGACGAGCCTGCTTTATTTTGTAAGAAAGAATTTTGTATTTAATAAGAGTTCTAGCAGAACAATATCAGCAAAAGAATAAATCTGAAAAAAGTGGAACAAGATCTGAAATTAGCAGTCGAATATATATACATATCTGTGTATATATTCAAGACAAAGAAAAACATTAACACAAATAAATAAAATTTTTTTATATTTCAATATTTTTAGATTGGAGATAAACCATCAAAACTATACAAGAAAATACTCAAGCTAGTGTGTTATTTATTCCGAATCACTTTCTACTCTAAACTTCTATTGTATCCTTTTTCCCTCCCCTTAAAACCCAAGGCTATACGAAAACACAGAGGATATGCAGCCAAATTACGACTTTAGGCAATGAAAGCTCATATTGGCAATTTTGATTTTCTACTGGTATTTTATGAACTCGAATTTCCATGAACACTAAGGTCACTTTCCATTTAGTTAAATTATTTGATTATTTTCTATGTTTGTGTGTGTGTGTGTGTGTGTGTGTGTGTGTGTACTAGTAGGCACTTAGAGGAGATATAATTAAAAATTATTTCCCCTTTTTTGGATAAACTTAAACCCAAAATTTGGATTTTAAACCCAAAATTTGAATCTTAAACCCAAAATTCTTTAAAAAGGAAACAGTTCAGCTATTCTCATGAATATATATTGAGTAGATATCCAAAAACCAATGTTGGTAACTTAGAAATACCAATATGGTACAGATGTTTTCATAGCGATTTTTATTTATTTCATAATAATAAAACTCATTCTATAGTTGAAAGATAACTTTTTTTCATTGACACCATTACATAAAGTATCATTTTGATACCTCATGTAATACTCTTAGTAGTGGAACTTACATGAGAATATGAAATTTACATTTCTATACATCAATAGACTTTTCCCTTGTGAATTCTGTGTTTTAAACTACCAAATTCAAAAATATATTTTTGTTTTTCTTATTATTCCTCAATGGATATAAAGTTATTTGCAACAAAAACCCTATTATATGTAAATAAGAACACAATTAAATGTAAAAATAAATAATACAATTAAATGTAAATATAAGGAATCAGAACTAAGGAAAATATGAGAAGGTAAGTGAACATAGATAAGAACATAATATGCAAGACTTAAAAATGAAATAGTTATTATTAAAACTTCAAATTTTTCTTCGAGTTTCCTAGCAGCCAAAGTAACAAGGGAGAAAGGTAAAACTATTCAAATACCTGTAGTAAGTGTTTAATCCTAGTTTTTCATAAGGTTACTTAGATAATTTATATACATGTATGTAGATAAGTAAAAATTACTGTATAACTTAAACATAGGAACAAAAATTTAAATTTTATGTTAGTCAAGAATAAAATGCCATTTGCTGGATACTATCAGTTTTAATATGATTTAAAATCTGAATATTCCATAAATAAGCACTTTGGAAATAATATCTTGGGGTTAAAATATCATGAAACACAAGAAATTATTTTTTCCTCTTTAAGTAAAACTTTGTGGTGTTGGATGTAGTATACAGTAGTCACAATTTCAGGCACAAGGTGTCGCTCTTCACTTAGTGGAAATAGTTTATTCAAGGTTTGGTCTGAACATCCAGGAACTCTCCATACAAGACCACTCCATAATGCCGGACGCTACTGTTAACGGATCCTTTGAAACTTCTCAAAAATTCAGCGAGGTTTTTAACCCGAAACTGGAGTCTCTGGTACAGTAAATGTAAAGGATCTTATTTTGCAAGTCGATGTCGTATGCGATGTTCAGTTTTCGAAAAAGGGGATTGGGCACTCAGAGACTGCAGTTGTTGCTTCTGCTCTTCGCAATCTGGGAGGCTGGGAGCGGCCAGGTCCACTACTCGGTCCCCGAGGAGGTCAAACACGGCACTTTCGTGGGCCGCATCGCCCAGGACCTGGGGCTGGAGCTGGAGGAGCTGGTGCCGCGCCTGTTCCGGGTAGCATCCAAAGGCAGTGGGGACCTTCTGGAGATAAATCTGCAGAATGGCATTTTGTTTGTGAATTCTCGGATCGACCGCGAGGAGCTGTGCGGACGGAGCCTGGAGTGCAGCATCCACCTGGAGGTGATCGTGGAGAGGCCGCTGCAAGTTTTTCATGTGGAGGTGAAGGTTAAAGATATTAATGACAATCCGCCAGAGTTCTCTGGAAGAGAACAAAAGCTGCTGATTTCTGAATCTAAGCAACCTGACTCACACTTTCCTCTAGAGGGCGCTTCTGATGCAGATATAGGAGAGAATGCTCTATTGACCTACAGACTAAGTCAAAATGAATATTTTTCCTTAGAAATACCAACAAATAGTAAGCAGACTAATAGACTGTCTCTTATATTAAAGAGGTCTCTGGATAGAGAGAAAATTCCGGAAGTTAGTTTGCTACTGACGGCCGCAGACAGGGGGAAACCGGAGCTCACTGGCACTGTTCAGCTTTTAATCCACGTCTTGGATATTAACGACAATGATCCAGAATTTGAGCAATCAGAATATAAAGTGAGATTGATGGAAAACGCAGCTAAAGAAACTTTTATGATTAAGTTAAATGCTACAGATCCAGATGAAGGAGTCAATGGGGAGGTAACATACTCCTTGATATCGATTAAGCCCAATAGAAAACGCTTATTTACAATAGATGAAAATAATGGAGAGGTGAGGGTCAATGGAATTTTAGATTATGAAGAAAACACGTTTTATGAAATTGAAGTACAGGCCAAAGATAAGGGAAATCCCCCAATGTCAGGTCACTGTACACTCTGGGTAGAAATCATAGATGTCAATGATAACGCTCCTGAAGTCACCGTGACTTCCCTGTCTCTCCCAGTACGAGAGGACACTCAGCCTAGCACCGTCATTGCTTTGATTAGGGTATTCGACCGCGACTCTGGTGCCAACGGAGAGGTGACCTGTTTTCTAACGTCCAACGTTCCCTTCAAGATAATGTCCACGTTCAAAAACTATTATTCACTGGTGCTGGACAGCGCCCTGGACCGCGAGAGTGTGTCCATCTATGACTTGGTGGTGACAGGACGAGACGGGGGGTCGCCTTCGTTGTCGGCCACCGCCAGCGTGTCCGTGGAGGTGGCTGACGTGAACGACAACGCGCCGGTATTCGCGCAGCCCGAGTACACGGTGTTCGTGAAGGAGAACAACCCGCCCGGCTGCCACATCTTCACGGTGTCTGCGCGGGACGCGGACGCGCAGGAGAACGCGCTGGTGTCCTACTCGCTGGTGGAGCGGCGCGTGGGCGAGCGTGCGCTGTCGAGCTACGTGTCGGTGCACGCGGAGAGCGGCAAGGTGTACGCGCTGCAGCCCCTGGACCACGAAGAGGTGGAGCTGCTGCAGTTCCAGGTGAGCGCGCGCGACGCGGGCGTGCCATCTCTGGGCAGCAACGTGACGCTGCAGGTGTTCGTGCTGGACGAGAACGACAACGCGCCCGCGCTGCTGCCACTTGGATCTCGCGGCGGGGGCGACGCGGTGAGCCAGCCTGTGGCGCGTTCTGTGGGCGCCGGCCACGTGGTGGCGAAGGTGCGCGCGGTGGACGCGGACTCCGGCTACAACGCGTGGCTGTCTTACGAGCTGCAGCTGGAGGCGGGGGGCGCTCACAGCCCGTTCCGCGTGGGGCTGTACACCGGCAAGATCAGCACGACGCGCGCCCTGGACGAGGCGGACGCGCCGCGCCAGCGCCTGCTGGTGCTGGTGAAGGACCACGGCGAGCCAGCGCTGGCGTCCACCGCCACTGTGCTGCTGTCGCTAGTGGACAGTGGCCAGGCGCCGAAGACACCGTTGCGGATGTCTGTGGGGGCCACGGGCCCAGAGGCAGCGCTGGTGGATGTGAACGTGTATCTGATCATCGCTATCTGCGCAGTGTCCAGCCTGTTGGTGCTCACGCTGCTGCTGTACACGGCGCTGCGGTGCTCGGTGCCGCCCACTGAGGGCGCTTGCGGGCCGCTGAAGCCCACGCTGGTGTGCACCAGCGCGGTGGGGAGCTGGTCGTGCTCGCAGCAAAGGCGACAGAGGGTGTGCTCTGGGGAGGGCCCACCCAAGAGGGTATGCTCTGGGGAGGGCCCACCCAAGACGGACCTCATGGCCTTCAGCCCCAGTCTTCCTCCGGGTCTGGATAGAGAAGATGTAGGGGAGAGGCAGGAGGCAGGATCAAATCATTCTGGGCAGGTGAGTAATATAGATACCCTCGCTTTTGAAGTTTAACTTAAATGTTTTTAAAATCCAGATTATTTTATAGAAAATCTTAATGAATACTGTGTATTTTTAGTATATTTTAAAGAATAATGTCTGTTAGTGAAATGCAATATGATACATATACCCAATTTTGATTATAATATTTTTTTGCAATAAATGTCTTATTTGTTTTAATGTTTTGTTAGAAAATGTTAAAAGAAGATGCAAGAGGGACTTTCCTGTTATCGCTTTATTAGAAATAATTTCTAATTGTCACTAATTTACTCATGTCACTTCATTTACTTTAATCCTCAGTAATGTAGATAATTACTATAGGTTCTCATCTTCTTTGTCGACCTTTTGCCTTTATATTTTCATATTATTAGGTCTATTGACTATTTTCACTTCAGTCTTTTATTAAAGATAGAGCACGGTCTTCATTAGGTCTGAAATGATTTACCTTTCTTTTTCTGTGTTCTTAAATGTTTGTCGTATGTTTAATGTCCATTAGATAATCTTTAATTTTATCTCTACTGATAGATTAAACTTGCTATTTTTTTTTTGCAGTTAAAAATTCAGTTTTGCATTCTCTAGGCTTGCATTGAAATAATATAACTAAATGTTCTGTCCTTTTAAAATTTGATCCATGGAATGGTTAGAGATTTATCCACTAAATACTTGAACAGAATCTCAGATTTATAGTTCCAAAGTAATCTAGGCAAATAAAGTTATTTATATTACTCAGGTAAGTCATTCAAACTTGCTAAAGGCATGTGTATTGACTTATACATTTGTGATATATGTTAGTTGGCATATTTCTTAAGTTTTTTGGACTTATCTAGAAAGGAAAATGTTAATGGTATTAAAATGAAACTTACTGACAATTATCAGTTTCACCCATTACTCCTTTAAAATTTCCTATCTTTAAATGCTTTATCTCTAATGTTTGTGAAATTTTCAGATGCTCTAACCATACCTGAAGATTCTAGTAAAGATCATTTACCTCTAGGTCATTTTACTAATTCAGTGATTGTTAGCTACATGTAGGTTGGTAGAGTCACTGACTTCTTTGAGAATCTGACAAATCATATGTGGCCATTCTCTCCCTAAAATCACACAGCATACCACTTATCATAATTTTCATGGTTCTCATTTTTGGACCTCTGCATAATCTTTTGTACCTCAGTATTAATTGACTAAAAACACTTTTCTATATCAAAGTTGGCAACTAGAGTAAAATGTAAAATATTTCAGACTCAAAAGTGATTAAACTATCAGTCATATCATTTATGAAACTGTAAATGTAATAAATGTAATATTAGGTAGGACACACATTATTACTTATCTCCAAAGGACGTTCTTGGAATGACTCAAGTTCATCTAAATTTAATAAACAAAGATATTGGAATGTTTTAAAGAGTTTAAAGTTTGCAAAGCATTATATTTACAGTACATAAGTAATCAATGCACATTTTTGATAATTCCAAATTACATGGACTAGTTTCTATGAATTTAGTGTCTTTTATACTTATTCTTTTTCAGGATTATATTTTAAATTGTAAAATTATAATTTCAATCTTTTCTAGTTTTTTTTGTTTAGGTATTAAGCTAAATTTAGATCTTACTATCTGTTTAATAATCTAATTATGTCTAACAGTGTGCGAGGACTACATAACACACTACTTTTTCTGTAAAGTTCCTTAGCAATTATAGTACATTGACTATTTCGAAAAATAGAAGTTAGAAAATGAAGAAGCTTGGTGGTGATATTAGATAATTTAATAGACTGATAGCATCAAATTCAAAATTAAGTGTTTTTGATTGATTGAGTCAATTTTATAGTTATTTTATACTTGTAGAATCATTCCTGGTTATTATATTCTGGTTCTATAAAGATTTCATTTCTCAGTTCCTTTTATTATTATATGTGGAAAGAATGGTTACAAATTATTGATTTAAAGATTTTTGACTTGAATTTTAGTGAGTTTATAAAATCTATATTTACTTGCTAAGGCATCTTATCTGTGTTTATTTTCCCATAAAGCTGGTCTTAAATTAATGAATAAAATTATGGAAAGTCTTTTAATTCTTCCTTGCATCTTCTGAGTAACTACTAACTACTCTGAAGGGAAAAACTGGGGGAGAAACCAAAAGGTCATTATGAAGTTTATATTCTTTTGACTTTAGTCAAGGAATTTGGGCTCCAAAACATTTCACAAGATCTTTTTCACATTAGTGTTCCACTGCCGTTTTAGAATATTGTGAAATTTGGAGGCTTTGACTTAACATTTTACATGAAAACTCTTTACACGTGCTAGAGTAAAACATTCCAGAATCTGTACCCAAGCCTCATTTTAACATGTTGTGGGAACAAGAGCAGTTGTATAGAAAGTCATCACATTTAAGCATCAAGGAATCAAAAAAGGAGATATCTTCCATATTTATAATGAATTCTAATATTCACCAGATTTAAGAATAAAATAATTTTATGAATGATGAAATATTTATTTTTTTCCTTTACGAGAGAATTTTTTACTTTCTCCTAAAGTCCTATGGTGAAGTGCTTCTATAGGATAAAAATCAATACAAGTGTGAATTGTAAGCAATATAGAGGCAGGAGTGATATTATTCTTTATTTTATTTCCCACGATAGCTAAACAATAGCTTCTGAAATACCGTATTTTAATTATTTTTTGATAGACTTTCAAGCACATTATTTTTTAAAAACTGCAGTATAATAGATGTATGGGTGCTTTGTCGCTAATATCATATTAAAATAGGTATTTACAAATGATCCATGAAAATATTCAAAAGTCGAAACAATTTAAAGTGACCCGGGAAGTGGCTAAACCAAAAAGAAACTCAAGATCTTTCTTGTACATACACGATCAGTCACATGATGTCGCTGTATGCTCAAAAGGTGAAAAGGAAAAAATTTGTCTAGCGCCCAAATTTGTACAATTCACAGAATAGGATCGACTCCACATCAACCGGAATTCTGGGTAAAACTTACTAAATATACTTACAGCAAAGAGAGACTGCTCATAAAGGTTCACAGGCGAGCGATCCCTTAAAATTGACACTCCCATCTCAGAGATCTTATCTGCAATGGTGTTTTCCTGGCGGGGAGGCTTAGGAGCCTGGCGCCTGCTGATGTGGCTTCTGCTCCTTACAGCCTGGGAGACCGAGAGCAGCCCGGTCCACTACTCGGTCTCCGAGGAGGCCAAACACGGCACCTTCGTGGGCCGCATCGTCCAGGACCTGGGGCTGGAGCTGGAGGAGCTGGTGCCGCGCCTGTTCCGGATGGCGTCCAAAAGCAGTGGGGACCTTCTGGAGATAAATCTGCAGAATGGCATTTTGTTTGTGAATTCTCGGATCGACCGCGAGGAGCTGTGTGGGCGGAGGCTGGAGTGCAGCATCCACCTGGAGGTGATCGTAGAGAGGCCGCTGCAGGTTTTCCATGTGCAGGTAGAAGTGAAGGACATTAACGACAATTTGCCGGTGTTTAGAAGAGAACAAAAGGTCCTTATTTCTGAATCTGCACCTCTAGAGTCTCAGTTTCCTCTAGAGGGCGCTTTTGATGCGGATATCGGCGAAAACTCTGTTTTGACTTACAAGTTAAGTATAAATGAGTATTTTACTCTGAAAACAATAACGAAAAACGATAAAAGTATATTGCCTGAACTGGTTCTTCGGAAGTCCTTGGATAGAGAGGAAACGCCAGAACTTAATGTATTGCTGACCGCCCTCGATGGCGGTAAACCTGAGCTAACAGGCTCTATTCATATTAAAATAACCATCCTGGATGTGAATGATAATGCTCCAGAGTTTGATAAGCTTGGCTATAAAGTAGTGCTGTTTGAAAATGTGCCAAACGACACGAGAGTGATTCAACTAAACGCTTCAGATTTAGACGAAGGATTGAATAGTGAAATTACCTATGGAATCAGAATGATTTTGCCAGCAAGTGAGAAGTGTATGTTTTCAATAGATCCAAAAACAGGTGAAATCAGAATTTATGGGAAACTGGATTTTGAAGAGAATAATGAGTATGAAATTCATGTTAATGCCATTGATAAAGGGATTCCTTCCATGGCAGGTTACTGCACGGTCCTGGTGGAAGTTCTAGACCTGAACGACAATACGCCCAAGATAATGGTCACTTCGCTGTCACTCCTTGTGCGAGAGGATGCTCAGGTGGGCACCGTCATCGCCTTGATCAGCGTGTCTGACAGTGACTCTGGGGCCAACGGGCAGGTAACCTGCTCACTAACACCCCACGTGCCCTTCAAGCTGGTGTCTACCTTCAAGAATTACTATTCGCTGGTGCTGGACAGCGCTCTGGATCGCGAGAGCGTGGCGAATTATGAGCTGGTGGTGACAGCGCGGGATGGGGGCTCGCCTTCGCTGTCGGCCACCGCCAGCGTGTCCGTGGAGGTGGCCGACATGAACGACAACGCGCCGGTATTCACGCAGCCCGAATACACGGTGTTCGTGAAGGAGAACAACCCGCCCGGCTGCCACATCTTCACGGTGTCTGCGCGGGACGCGGACGCGCAGGAGAACGCGCTGGTGTCCTACTCGCTGGTGGAGCGGCGCGTGGGCGAGCGTGCGCTGTCGAGCTACGTGTCGGTGCACGCGGAGAGCGGCAAGGTGTACGCGCTGCAGCCGCTGGACCACGAGGAGCTGGAACTGCTGCAGTTCCAGGTGAGCGCGCGCGACGCGGGCGTGCCACCTCTGGGCAGCAACGTGACGCTGCAGGTGTTCGTGCTGGACGAGAACGACAACGCGCCCGCGCTGCTGCCGCCTGGGGCTGGTGGCGGGGGCGGCGCGGTGAGCCAGCCAGTGGCGCGTTCTGTGGGCTCCGGCCACGTGGTGGCGAAGGTGCGCGCGGTGGACGCGGACTCGGGCTACAACGCGTGGCTGTCTTACGAGCTGCTGTCGGAGGCGGGGGGCGCTCACAGCGCGTTCCGCGTGGGGCTGTACACGGGCGAGATCAGCACTACGCGCGCCCTGGACGAGGCGGACGCGCCGCGCCAGCGTCTGCTGGTGCTGGTGAAGGACCACGGCGAGCCTGCGCTGGCGGCCACCGCCACTGTGCTACTCTCGCTGATGGACAGTGGCCAGGTGCCGAAGACTCCGTCGCAGATGTCGGCGGGCGCCATGGGCTCAGAGTTGGCGCTGGTGGATGTGAATGTGTATCTGATCATTGCCATCTGCGCGGTGTCCAGCCTGTTGGTGCTCACGCTGCTGCTGTACACGGCTCTGCGGTGCTCGGCGCCGCCCACCGAGGGCGCGTGCGGGCCAGAGAAGCCCACTCTGGTGTGCTCCAGCGCGGTGGGGAGCTGGTCGTGCTCGAAGCAGAGACGGCAGAAGGTGTGCTCTGGGGAGGGCCCTCCCAAGACCGACCTCATGGCCTTCAGCCCCAGTCTTCCACAGTCACGAAAAGATTGTTTCAATCTTTCCAGTGAAGTAAGTCATGATATATATTTGTTCCCTTTAAGAACTTTCTATTAGGGTATAAATACATTAACTTTTTCTTTTTCTTTTTTTTCTTTATGTTATTCTTTAAACCGTCAATATCTTCTCTTCTGTGGTAGGATCATTCCTAGTCATTTGGACTTTTCATTATTTGCCCAGTCACCACACTTTAAAATATTCTAGTTCTCTTTAGAAGAGGCAACCCTTGGTTGACCTCACAGATTGCAAGGACTTTGTCAGCTTTCAATCCCTTATTTTTTTTATTTTTTACGCCTACAGCACCTGGTCTTCCTAGGTGGTCTCCCATCCAAGTACTAACCAGGCCTGACACTGCTTAGCTTCCAAGATCAGATGGGGCGGGGCTTGTTCAGGGTAGCATGGCCATAGACTCTAGTTCTCTCCTTTTTCCCATTACCTATGATTAGCTTTGAAGAATATTAGTACACTACAGTAAAAACCATCTAGGTGTTCGGTAACTTAAATTTATTTTTAATTTAAACTTAATTTCATGATTATAAAAAATTTGTGAGATAATACAAAGAGTTCCCCAGAGACCATTACCTGGATTCCTTCACTGTTCTTTATGTGCATAGGCTGGTAAAATAGTCTCCTTAATTACCATTCTAATTTCAGTACACTCTTCTTCCAGATATTATAACATAATAATTGTGTTATTAATTCTCAAGGAAATATTTTTTATTATTGTTCACAGGGAGTCCCTTCTTCCTTTAAAGTGGGATTGGCTACTGTACTACCCTTATTTACATAAAATATAACAAAGTCATTTCATACTTAAAAGGTTATAATAACCACCCAAATTAGGATTCATTTTATGATTGATGTTTTATAATAACTTACATAGCTGTTTTTCTTTCTTGGTAGCACATAAGTAATGATGCATCTTACAACTAATGACTTTTTTATTTAATAAAATATAAGAATAGTTATTGATCCCCTATTATTTTTCAGGAACTGTGCTAAGATATTTAATGGCATCATCTCATTTTATTATCAAAGTAGTTCTATGGTTCAGGTACAATATTTATCATTGTCATTTTACTTATGAGAAACCTGAGCTTAAGCCAGATAGTGAGAAGTGGCTCAAACCCAGTTTTGGAGGATCCCAAACCCATTATGGCATATTACTGCTCTGGGACTATTATCTCATGAATGTTCTAAAGTGCATTTTACATGTTGTAATTTTCTTACCCCAAAATATCCAGAGGCTTCTCTTTGATCAGAGAGTAAAGCCTTAAATCCCTCAGTCTGGTAGTGATGGTATTAAACTTTCCTGCCTTTTGCCTAGTACTGTCTCACATATCTTTAGTTTAGGACATGGAATATAGCATATGTTCAAGCAATAATTTTGAAATAAATATATGGCATCGAAATAAACTGCCTAGGTGATTCCCTCCATTGTAGAAGTTGGGGTAGACTCCAGAGATTAGGCAATGTTTTATTGAAGAGTGCCTGTAGGATAGATGACATTTCAATAGGAAGGTATTACAAATGGAGAGATAAATATGAATAAATAAACAGTTTTTTCTAGTGAATGTGTACTTGCAGGATTGGAGCAGGGGAGATTCTGAAGGTAGGAAAGCTAGTAAAGAATCTTTTATAATACTTTAGGTATCAAGTGATGAAGATTTAAATTATGGCAATTGAAATAGATTGAGAGAAACATGTACAAGTGGCATTGACAAAGTAGAAGCAGCCAGATAATGATGGGCTCAATACAATGATAAGAGATATACGAAAGTAGAAGATGACATTAACTTTTTTAGTTTGGTCACCTGGGAGGATGAGATTGCCATTAACCAAGATGCAGAAGAGAGTTGGAGAAAGTTTTTTTTTGTATTTGTGCTGCTAGAGAATAGAGAGGAACATTTAAAAAACTATATTATACTTGAGGTTCTGCAAAAAAAAATAATTGTGATGAGAAATATGGATCTGGAACTCAGGGAATATTACAGATGTAGATTTGTGAGTAATTCCCATAGGGAAAAAAATAAATCCATTAAAAAATAAATCCATTAAATTACTAGAAAGAGATTGAAAAATTGAAAGCAATGTGTCCAAAGAAAGAATTTAAGTGGATAGGTGCGTTAGTTCCTGGGGCCACTATAACAAATTACCAAAAACTGGTGCCTGAAGACAATAAAAATTTATTCTCTCACAGTTTGGGATACCAGAAGTCCAAAATCAGAGTGTTGGCAGAGCTGTACCTGCTCTGGAGCTCCAAGGAGAACCTGTTGTCTGTCCCAGCTTTTTGTGGCTGTAGAGTTCCTTGGCTTGTGGCCACACCACTCCAGTTTCTGCCTCTGTGGTCACATTGCCTCCTATTCTTCCCCATATATTTTAAAATGATATATGTGATTATACTTTAGGGCCCACCTGTATAATCCAGAATAAGTGCCTTCTCTCAAGATCCTTAACTCAGTCACATCTTTTGTCACATAAAGAAATATTCATAGGTTCCAGGGATTAAGATGTGGGCATATCTTTTTTTGGGAGGGGAGACAGCATTCAACCTAGGATAGTAGGCTTAAAATCATAAAATGGTTATATAACACTGCTAAAATAAAGCTCAAAGTGCAATATATCAAATGCATGTTAGAAGTTAATGCTGAAGAGGATGAGATAAAAGAACAGGCTTTTTAAAGAAGTAGTAAGTTTATATAAAGATGCTTGAGTGTTTTTGTAGTGTGAGGGAAAGAAGTAAGTAAAGAAGGAGATACTGAAGATAAGACAGCCAAAGAAAGAATGAAGGTAAAGATGAAGGAGAAAAGGATGGAGAATAATTTTTAAAGAGCATAGAGGTGAGCTTAAATGTGGGGACCATTTTTTTTCTTAGCAGGGAATGAAATAGAGACTATAAGGAAATATACTGATATAAGAAGAGAGCCATTGAGTTCATTTTGATGACTTAGCTCTCTGGGTAAATCATCTGAAAACCAGGTGGTTAGAATAAGGTTGAGAATTTGAGAAGAGAGAGAAAAGAATATGGAAGAGTATCTGTAGACATGGGGGAAGAGTGAATTATGGATTCATTTGAGGGCCTAGTCAAGGTAAAGTTGAGAGTCAATCCGTAGAGAATATAGTCATCATGATTAAGTGACTATCTTATACTAGGAAGCTTAATAGGAGAAATAGAGAAAATGGATATTAGGTTGTGTGTTGTAAACTAAAGAAAATGTTGGGGAGTAATATAAGTAGGTGAGTGCTTTGGGGTGTCAGGAAAGATATGCTTTAAATGGCTGACTATGTGGTATAGGTTAGGTAGAGAGGTAAATGAGAGAAGATAGAGCCTGATAAACAAGAACAATTAGAAAAAATTAAGGGATTATTCCCAGTATAAGAGTAAAGTTATGTTAATAAAAGTAATGGAGCAGGACAGAGGATAAAAGAGAATACCAAATACTGTACTCAAATTTTCAGAAGAGAGCAAAGATACAGAAATGAACCCAACAATTATTTCCAGCAGAGTTGTGCACAAAACAGGCAAGAGAATTATTGGAGCTATGCTATATCTTTCATAGTGCTATTTGGCCTGGAACTTTGGGGCCTGTTAATGATAGTTATAGCAACAGGTAAGATTCTTCCTCTCTTCCTTGCTAAAGATGTGTTAACATCTGTATCAACCTGTTGTTCCTTAGAAAATCAGTCAATTTAAATGATAGAAAGATTTCTTTCCTAGTGATAATGTAAGATGAGGAAGGGAAGAGGGAAATTTAACCTACTGGTAGTAATTTAAATTCTATTAAATACATAGGATGCTAGTTCTTGGCATGTTTTATGCAAAGAGAATCTAGAACTTTAAAGCATTATTATATCTAAAGGACCAAAATTATTGTGTTTTAAAAATTTGTTGTGTTTATGCACACACACTCATATATAAACTCATATATACATTGACTGGACACTTCCTTCAAATGCAAATATTTTATCCACATTTCACAGTCACATTTGGGGTAATAATAATAATATGGTATATTTATTTAAATATGGTATATCACTTACTAATATTTTCCATGTTCATCTGTTTTATGTAATTGGTTATGTTTTTATTTGGAGTCAATGGCTGCTGTGTGAGCAGGTTTCAAAAAATATTACAGGAAAAGGACATTCCCACCAAAACCTACAAAGCTTTGCAGAACTATAGGCTGATTTGCAAAAGTGAATAGAGTATTCCCCCTCTTAAAATTCTGCATGCAAGTTTTACACAGGCAAAAATATATTTGTGAAAAAATAGGACTCAACCAATTTTCGACTAGCATCCAGTGCTGAGAAGAATACAGTGATTTACTATTTCTGAAAAGAAAAACATTTAGTCTTAAATTGCATATTTGCAGTGAGAAATTTCACAAAATGCAAGAAAATAAACCTACATCAACGGAAAATAGGGATGGAACCATTTTTACACTTACACATTCATGCGCACGGTGTCGCTCTTCACTGAGAACCTTTCTCCAAAGAAGGCGCCTCCTCTTCCTGCAGAAAATTTGGTATATAGTGGGAAACCTCTAGCGAATCCTCCCTCAATAGAAGGCGGTAAAATTGGATCTTTGGAGTCAGTCTGAGGTAAGGTATTCTATATACTTCAGATATCTCTGAAGCCCTTTGAGTGTACCATGCCATTTTCATGGCGAGGAGACCCAGGAGCCCGGAGTCTGCTGCTCTCCCTTCTGCTCCTCGCAACCTGGGAGACCCAGAGTGGACAGGTCCACTACTCGGTCTCTGAGGAGTCCAAACACGGCACCTTCGTGGGCCGCATCGCCCAGGACCTGGGGCTGGAGCTGGCAGAGCTGGTGCCGCGCCTGTTCCGGATGACGTCCGAAGGCAGTGGGGACCTTCTGGAGGTAAATCTGCAGAATGGCATTTTGTTTGTGAATTCTCGGATCGACCGCGAGGAGCTGTGCGGGCGGAGCCTGGAGTGCAGCATCCACCTGGAAGTGATCGTGGAGAGGCCGCTGCAGGTTTTCCATGTGGAGGTGGGAGTTAAAGATATCAACGACAACCCGCCTGTGTTCCCAGAA